ATTTCTAACAAAAAAAATGATAATTATTTAAAACTTAAAAAAATCTTACTGGAAAATTTCACAAAACTTATTAACTTTTTATATTGTTCCAATATATAAACACCAAAAGAGTAAAAGACAAGACCATTTCATTCACTAAAAGTCAAAACTTAAAGCAAACTATTCAAGAGAACGTCCATGACGCTTATGGGATATCCAACATATGATCTTCATCGAACACATTTGAATCCGCTTGTTGGAAGGTTGTTTTAACATCTTCACTTTCATCTACATTTACAATTTGTTTGCAATATTAATTAGTTAAATATTAAGAATAATTAAAATTTAAAACTAATTAACGTTTCAAGACTTTGATCTTTTAATATGATGAGCTTAAAACTTTAAGCTTGGGATACTCTTCTTATTATTTTTTGTCATATAACAACAACAAACCCAGTTTGATCCCAACAAGTGAGGTCTGCGGAGGGTAGTCTGTAAGCAGACCTTACCCCTACCTAATGCAGACTTTTATTAGGCCCACGGGTCGGCCCGGCCCAGCCTCATTCAAGCCTCACGGGCCACGGGCTTATTCGGGCCGGGCTTAAAAGCCTCGTTTTTAAATGGACTCCAAAAATTCTAGCCCAGCCCTTCTAAATCACGGGCTGGGCTGGGCCGGCCCAACGGGCCAAGCCCATATTGACGGCACTAATTATTGTATTCACCTGTTCATCCTTCTCAAAAATTTAGTTCGCTTTGTTTTTAGAGTGACAAACTTTCTGCTAAACTAAATATAGATAATTCACTTCGTAAGGGTAAGATTAACTAGACATAAATTAAGTTAACTTTTTATTAAATAAAGTTGGATATTCTAAACGCACACAAAATACATTTTATAAATTGCTATTTTCCCATTTCACAAAATGACAATATTAAAATGTTAAAAATCTTATTAAAATCTTGGAAACGGAATTGAAATAAATCTTGTGTTAGAGAAATTAACTGCATCGCAAGGAGTGAATTAAGAACAACCTTAATAGTTAAAGAAATTGAGAGTATAATTGGAGAGAATTTTTTGTATATTGAATTGATCTCATCTGTACAAGGACATTGTATTTATATACATGTGTTTCTAGAAAAGAAAACAAAAGGAATAAAAGAATAGCCTATGAAATATGTACACTTGTCCTAATATTATTTGTATATGTCTAACAAAATAACTAACACTATCATTCCTTCTTCAAATGGCACAATACGTGCATGTGGGAATATTCCAGATTTTGAGTGCAAATTGGACGGACCAGATTTAATCCATCAACATTTCTTTGAACATCTGAGATGAAGCCACGTGGCTCATTGACTGCCTTAGTATAGTCAAAGATGAGATTGTGTCTTAGCCTAGTTTTGTCCGTCGTCTTCAACCTTAGCTTTCCTTTTCCTTCTTCTTCATCCATCTTCTACAACCTTCTTTCTTGTCCACAATCATTTTCGTTACAAAGCATGGATTCATTTATTCCAACACCCCCCCTCAAGTTGGAGGGGGTAGAAGACACACCCAACTTGCCAAGAATCATCTTGTGAGCAGGCCCTGCTAAGGGTTTGGTGAATAAATCAGCAAGTTGCAATTTTGAGGGAACAAATGTTAGAGAAATGAACCCGGAGAGAAATTGTTGCCGTACAAAGTGGCAATCGAGCTCGACGTGTTTAGTCCTTTCGTGAAACACGGGATTCCGGGCGATATGGATGGCAGCTTGACTATCAGAGAAAATAGGAACAGGGATCGGAGGAGGAACTGAGAGATCTGTGAGCAAACGAGTCAACCAGGTCAGTTCTGCAACCAAACGCCGCATGGAGCGATACTCCGCTTCTGCGGAAGAAAGAGAAATAGAAGCTTGTTTCTTCGATTTCCAAGACACAGGAGAACCACCTAAACTGATAAAGAAGCCCCTAACAGAGCGGCGAGTATCCCTGCAAGAGGCCCAGTCGGCATCGCAGAAAGCCAAGAGATCCAAAGAGGGATGAGCATTGAGAAACAGTCCTTGGCCAGAGGTGGAGGAAATGTAACGAAGAACACGCAAGGCCGCAGTGAAATGACCAAGGCAAGGTCGTTGCATGAACTGACTGAGGGTGAGTACAGCAAAAGAGAGATCTGGGCGTGTGTGAGTCAAATAGTTGAGTTTACCCACTAAGCGCCGATAAAGAGAAGCATCAGCTAATGGAGGACCAGAATCAGCAACCAATTTGAAAGAGGGATCCAGTGGTGAAGAAGCTGAAGTAAGATTTGAGCATTCAAACTCGTGAAGCAAATCAAAGGTAAATTTCCTTTGAGTAATAATCATTCCTTTGGCTTCTCGCAAAATTTCCATCCCTAAAAAATAATGAAGTGGTCCAAGATCCTTCATTTTGAACTCAGAATGTAGAAATATTTTGAGGTCTGTTAATTCAGCTAGATTATCTCCTGTAAGTAGTATATCATTAACGTATACTGCAACAATGGAGATAAGATGACCTGTTCTCTTGAAGAACAGAGAATAGTCATTAAGAGAAGCAGAAAAACCTTTGAAACTGAGTGCCCTTGCAAGCCTGGCATACCACTGCCTGGAGGCTTGTTTTAAACCATAAAGAGACCTCTTAAGTCGACAAACATGGTTGGGACTTGGGGAAGGTAGACCAGCAGGAAACCTCATATAAACTTCTTCTTGTAATTCCCCATGTAAGAAAGCATTGCTCATGTCAAATTGAGAGATAGACCAGTCTTTCTTGACAGCAATAGAAAGCAAACATCTGATTGTGGTCATCTTAACAACTGGAGAGAAGGTTTCTGTGTAATCAATACCTTCTCTCTGAACATCACCCCTTATAACCAATCGTGCTTTGAGTCTTTCAATAGAACCATCAGCATTGTGTTTGACTTTATAGACCCATTTACAGGGTAAAGCATTTTTGCCAGTAGGTAGAAGTACCACATCCCATGTGAGGTTTTCTTCTAGAGCCTTAAGTTCTGAGTTCATAGCTTGTACCCAACCTGGGTGAGAGCAAGCATGGGAGTAAGAGGTAGGTTCTGTAAAAGAAGATACTGATTGGAGGAGGAGTTGATTAGAGCTAGTGAGGGCAGAGAAAGCAAAGGGAGATGGGGAACAAGCAGAGGTGAGACAGGAAGTGGTGACATCAGTAAGGTAGATGTTGCTGCAAACATAATCCTTAAGATAACTAGGTAGAGTGCCTAGGTTATCCCTGTTAGATCTCCTAAGTGGAACAGGAGGAGAAGGAGGCATAGGTGAAGTGGAAGGGGTAGGAATATGAGGAGTGTCCTGGTGAGAAGAGGAACCGGGTGAAATATCAGATGTAAGGCAATCTTGTGGTATAGTGGAGTTAGGCTGTGGGGAAGTATCCGAGGTGGAAGGAGGTATAGGAAAAGTAGGATTAGGGCATGGAGAGGGATTATCTTGAGATATATGGGAGAAGGGAAAGATGTGTTCAATGAAATGAACATCCCTGGACACAAACAATTTCCTGGTGGTGAGGTTCAACAACTTATATCCCTTTTGACTAGCAGGATAGCCCATGAATACACATGCTATGGCCCTAGGATCAAACTTTCCTCTGTTATGTGACAAGGTGGAAGCATAACAAAGACAACCAAAACTTCCTAAGAAAAAATAAGAAGGTGCTTTACCAAACAGTAGATGATAGGGAGTATGTCCTTTGAGCACCCTAGAGGGAAATCTGTTGATGAGAAATGTAGCTGTTAGGATGCATTCTCCCCAATAGCAAAGAGGCACTTTAGATTGAAAAAGCAAAGCTCTAGCAATCTCTAACAGATGTCTATGTTTCCTCTCCACAATCCCATTTTGTTGAGGAGTTCCCACACATGAAGTCTGATGCAAAATACCTTGTGACAAGAAGAACAAGGAAGCTGCAGTACTGCTGCCCAATTCTAGAGCATTATCTGACCTGATAATCCTGACCTTAGAATTGAATTGCCTTTCCACCATGCTCAAAAAATATTTTAGAACTGAAAATGCACTACCCTTTGTGCTTAGTAGATAAGTCCAAGTGGCTCTACTAAAATCATCCACAATAGTGAGAAAGTACTTGTATCCATTATGAGTAAGAGTTCTATAAGGACCCCATATGTCAATATGTATTAATTCAAAAGGTTGCTTTGTTTTGATATGACTGATTGGAAATGGTAATCTAGACTGTCTTGCTAATGGGCAAACATCACAATGACAACTAGAATTAGAAACAAATGAAATGGAACTGATATATTTCATTGCATTGAAAGGCAAATGCCCCAATCTTACATGCAAAAGTTTTACATCAGATTCTGATTTTGCTGAAATAGGAAAAGAAGCTGAAACAACATTAGAAAAAGATCCAGGCAACAATCTATTAGCTGAACTAGAAAAAGAAGTTGCAATGTTGGAAAACAGGGTTCTAGGTTCTGTGACACTAGACTTCACTAAGTAAAGTCCCTCCTTAGCTTCACCAAAAACTTGAGGGCTCTTCATGAGAGGGCCCTGCAAAATACAGCCAAAAGAAGTGAAAACTAAAAGACATTTGAATCTTTGACAAAGTCTACAAACTGAGAGTAAGTTGTATTTGAAACTAGGAATATACAAAACATTTTCCAGAAATAGAGCTGGGAAGATAGAAACACTACCAGCATGAGTAACCTTTACCCTAGAAGAATCAGGTAACTTTACCATAAGAGGAAAAGGTAGTGGTACTAGGAATAAGAATGTGTTGGCATTGAAACACATATGTTCACTTGCCCCTGAATCTATAATCCAAGAGTTGGAGAGATTAGAATTGGAAACTGAATAACAGGAAGGAGAATTAGTAAACAATATACCAGAAACTGAATTTGCATTAACATCTTGAGAAGTTCCCTGTCCTGTTTGTAGTTGATTCAGGAGATTAACCAACTGGCTGAATTGATCAGATAAGAGCTTTTGAGCAAATTGAGGTCCCTCTACCATGTTGCCATGAATTTCCTTTGTATCTTCTACCACAGTGGCTTAATTTCCTTTTGGAGAATTTTGCAGTCTTTTGTTCTTAGTAAATTTGAAATCAGCAGGAAATCCCACAAGTCTGTAACAGTTTTCAATTGTGTGATTAGTCATCTTACAGTAGGAGCACATCTGTGTATTCTTCTTTCCTTTGTATGCAAAATTTCCTTTATAACCAGTATTTCCATTCTTCTGTTGAGGGGGATGAGGTGCTGCAGAGATCTGATAACTCTGAGGTCCTTGATTCTTCACCATGAAAGAAGCTCCATCTGTTGGAAATTGAGGATTAACATGAATTTCCCTTTGATTCTCATCTTGCATAAGAAGTGAGTAAGCTTGATTAACTGAAGGTAGAGGTTTAACCATGAGTATGTTACTCCTAGCCAATCCATAGGTTTCATTCAAACCCATGAGGAATTGGATTAGCCTCTCATCTTCCTTAAATTGCTGCATTTTCTTCTTTCCTCCACATTCACAGTTGCATGAGCACTGCATATCAAAATTAAGAGTGTCTAATTCATCCCATAATCGTTTCATTCTAGTGAAATAAGTGGCAATGTCAGCAGTCCCTTGTACTAAATCAGCAAGTTCCTTTTGCAGGTGGTAGAGCTTGGCACCATTAGGTTGCCCAAATCTGTGCTCCAGATCTAACCAAAGGTCCTTAGCAGTCTTTGAGTAGAGAACACTATCAGCAATGACCTTGGTGAGAGACTTCAATAACCAAGAGGTTACCATGTGGTTGCATCAACTCCAGGTTGAGTGATTAGGATCTGTGAGAGGTGGCATAGGGCATGATCATCAATGAAACCCAATTTGTTCTTAGCTGACAGTGAGATGAGGATGGATCTGCTCCAACCAGCATAGCCATGACCATCAAATGGGGTGTTCACCAGTATCATACCTGGTGCATCAGAAGCATGAAGGAAGAAGGGATGAGAAGAATCAATGGAGTTTCCATTGCCTGCTGTTGTTGAAGAAGAAGGGGTGTGTGTGAGTGGAGTTTCAGTGACATCTGAACCAGGAGCCATGGTTGAAGAAGAAAATCAGAAAATCTGAGGAAAATGAAATGAGGAAGAAGCGCTACTGCTCTGATACCATAAAGAAATTGAGAGTATAATTGGAGAGAATTTTCTGTATATTGAATTGATCTCATCTGTACAAGGACATTGTATTTATATACATGTGTTTCTAGAAAAGAAACAAAAGTAATAAAAGAATAGCCTATGAAATATGTACACTTGTCCTAATATTATTTGTGTATGTCTAACAAAATAACTAACACTATCATTCCTTCTTCAAATGGCACAATACGTGCATGTGGGAATCTTCCAGATTTTGAGTGCAAATTGGACGGACCAGATTTAATCCATCAACATTTCTTTGAAAAGCTGAGATGAACACGTGGCTCATTGACTGCCTTAGCATAGTCAAAGATGAGATTGTGTCTTAGCCTAGTTTTGTCCGTTGTCTTCAACCTTAGATTTCCTTTTCCTTCTTCTTCATCCATCTTCTGCAACCTTCTTTCTTGTCCACAATCATTTTCGTTACAAAGCATGGATTCATTTATTCCAACAATAGTCAACAAAGAGGAATAAGTAGGCGTTTGGACGTAAAAATTGTAATTTCTTTTTTTAAAAAAAAATTATATTTGGAGTTAAGTTGAAAATGGTATTTGGAATTTGAAATTATATTTTGACATACATTTCACTTGAAAAAATATTGCAATTTTATGAATGGGAAAAAATCCAAAAAAAAGGTTGAAAAAGTGGTTTTTTCAAAAACTAATTTTTGAAAAATCTCAAAAAACTTTCAAAATTTCATAGACAAACACATTTTTGAAAAAAAAAAAGTTATGAACAAACGGGTCCTAAATACCTACAATGAATTTTGTTTTAATTTTTTGGGAAAAAGATAAAGTATAAGACCATAAGGTGAGAGTTTCTCTCTTTTAAGGATGTTCATATTCCGTGTACAGTGGGATTAGTTCTTAATCCGAGTAAAGATCTTACTTCCAAATTTGAATATTAAATTAAAATATATTTTGTACTGAAGATAATCATTTTTAACAAATCGGAGTACTTTCAAGGATACTTTTTTATTAAGTTGCAGTAACATAAGCTTGCCCCTCATCGCTCGTGAAATATTATCTGACGATAATATATTGCATGACCGCTTCCGTTCTGACTGAGCTGACTATTGCACATGACTTCTATATTCTATTATAGCCTATTTAATATTTTTCTATTCAATCTTATTTATAGAAATAACACTCGATCAAAGGAGAGCATAAGCAAATTTAATGGTGATTCAGATTTGACTCCCCTGAATTGGAGATCCGAAAAAGGTATGGCCATAATATTTTTTTTCTTTCTATTTTCATTTGCCTAAAGGTTTAAATAGTATCAAAATGCACGATAAGCCAGTTCACCCCATAGCTTCGTTAAACAATTGACCACTTTTTAGGGGTGATTTGGTTGAAAGAGTAAGGATAATAACGTCAGTATAAAATGTGAGATTATTTTATTTTATATTTGATTGAATTTTTGGTTTTTTGCATGTAATATGGGATAACAATCCGGAAATAGATAATCATATGACAAACATATCCTTTTCCAAAATTCTTATCATGGCTGAAATTGAAAATAAAAGTTTATTGCAAAGTTAAATATATTTTACATTATACCTCGATATTTTATTTTTAATCATTGCATCAACCATATTACAAGAGAAAAAGATATTCATAAAATAATTTTATTATTATTTAATTCTTTCATATTATTATAATTATTATCTAACCGTCATAATATAATTTCCATATTATTAATCCAATAAAATTTGTCCCCGTCTAACCGTATCCCACGTACAAAACGATCCCTATTGAGACTATTGGCTATTTATGTAAAGTGGCTAGTGTTGTAAAGTGGCTATTCATTTCAGTTATAGTTGTTTAGTTAGGAGATGCATATATACTACATTTGCAAATGTAAATAACAGAGGTTCATTTTCCTAATTTCTATCTCCTTCTCTTCCTTTCAGAATGTTCTCTCTCTCTCGTAAGAACCTCCATAGTTATGGATATGATAGCTTGAATTACTTTCTATCTCAGTCAATTAACATGGTATCAGAGCAAGGCGTTCCGATCTACTACATCTCTGTCACTTTCTCTCTATTTTGTACCCGTCAATTTTGAGTTTCATCTCAAATCGATTGATCGTCGGAGAAATCTTCATTTTGCCCTAATTTTGCGTCGGAGAAGAGGTTTTCGTTTCTAAGGTACATAATCATACATCTCAGTTCTATTACTGATGGCCGTGGATGATTTGAGCGATGCAACTAGCACTGATGTGCACGTCGGAGTTTCAGGAAATTTCGGTATTGATCCCGGCGATCCTCTGTATTTGCACCCGTCGGATAATCCCGGAGCTATGCTCGTTTCAGCTGCCTTCAGTGGCGTTGGCTACCGTTCGTGGAGGCGCAGTGTGTTGCGAGGTTTATCAGTGAAGAATAAGCTAGGGTTCATAAATGGCGAGTGTAAGCGCCCAGATCCTCAGTCACCTACGTTCCGGCAGTGGATACGTTGTGATGATATGGTGACTTCGTGGATCCTCAATTCTCTGGAAAAAGAAATAGCAGACAGTGTTGAATATGCAAATGATGCCATGGAGTTATGGATCGAACTAGAAGATAGATATGAACAGACGAATGGAGCCAGATTATATCAAATACAAAAGGAGATAAATGATACTTCTCAAGGAACTCTCGACATTACCAGTTACTACACCAAATTGAAGAAACTCTGGGAAGAGTTGAGTACCTTAAGTAAGAAATCTCAATGCACATGTAGCTGCACTTGTGGAGCAAAGGAAAATTTCTACAAAGCTGAACAGGATAGGCGTTTAATACAATTTCTCATGGGCCTGAATGAAACCTACACTGTATTCGAGGTAGCATTCTCATGATGAATCCACTCCCCAACCTTGCTCAAGCCTTTTCTCTCCTAATACAGGATGAGAAGCAAAGGGAAATCAAATCTCATACTCAGTTGTTTGTTGAATCAACCTCCATGAGAGTTACCAGTTCCAGACCTAGTGGTTATAGAACCAATTATTCACCTAACAACAACTATGCTGGACAAGGAAGGGGAAGACCTATGTGTGATTATTGCAAGAAACCAGGGTACACCAAAGATAAGTGTTTTAAACTACATGGTTATCCTGAGAATTTTGGATATTCTTGAAATCAAAATTATAATCCAAATCAGCAATATAATCCAAATCAGCAATTCAATCGCAACCAGAACTTCAATAAAGGAAAGAGAGTAGTGGCCAGTGTTTATGGGGATCATTCCTCTGAAATGTTATCCAACAAAGAAGATGAACAAAGTGACCTGAATGCAGACCAAACTATCAGTCTGTCAAAGGAGCATTATGGACAAATTCTGAGTTTACTTCAACACTTTCAGGCTGGCAATGGAAAAAAAAACTGCAAGTCCCAATAACTCTATCAATGGAGCTGTGAACTTTGCAGGTATAATAGTCTGCACTTCTTCTATAGATTTTGGTAAATTGTCATGTCAGTGTCTCAAAAACAAGGCTGAGTCTCAGGGGCATCAAACCACATGACTTTCAATAAATCCTTACTGACTAACATCATAACATTACCTTATCCTCTCCTAGTTGTTTTACCAAATGGATACAAAGTGAGAGTAACTGAGATTGGTAGTGTAATCCTTGTGCCTGACATCACCTTGCATAAAGTAATGTTTGTACCTTCATTCAGATACAACCTCATTTCTATTCATGGTCTGACTAGTGTAAATCCTAGGAGTTTAGTAGCTTTCACTAATAACCTTTGTGTTATGCAGGCCCCTTCAATGAAGAGGCCTCTGGAAATTGGTAAAGCTTGTGATGGGCTATATCTTCTCTGTCCAAAGTGTCTGAGAAACAAGTATTCAGGTTCTTCTGTCAACAATTCCCTTTGCACACACAACTCACACCAATGTCACAGTTCACACTGTCACTCTGATTCACCTGTACATAGTTCATTGTCCACAAATAAATGTGTATCTTTTTCTCCACATGTAAATATCCCATGTTTGAATAATACAAATGATAGTTTGAATTCTTCTGTGTCATCTAGTACTGATATTGATGTTTTGTGGCACAATAGACTTGGGCATGTACCCTTTGTCAAAATGAAAGGGATTACCTCTATCCCAGTTTCTTTTTCCCCAAAACAGCCTTTTCTTTGCTCTATTTGTCCAATGGCTAGACAAGGAAGATTGCCATTTCCTCAGAAAACAAATTTTTCCACAAAAATATTCCAAGTTCTACACATTGACATATGGGGACCTTACCATGTGCCAACTCATGATAACTACAAATACTTCCTTACTTTGGTGGATGATTATAGTAGGTCCACTTGGACCAACCTTCTTTCATGCAAAAGCAATGCATTACAAGTCTTGAAATCCTTTGTCTCTATGGTTGAAACTCAGTTTAACACAAAAATCAAAACAATCAGATCTGACAATGGGTCAGAGTTCACCGGTACAGAGGCCAAAATGTTTTACCAAACTAAAGGCATAATCCATCAAAGGACTTGCCCTTATACACCCAAACAGAATGGCATAGTGGAAAGAAAACATAAATATCTACTAGAAACTGCCAGGGCACTCCTTTTTCAATCAAAACTACCTATAAAATACTGGGATGAATGCATTTTATGTGCAACATACATCATAAACAGATTTCCCTCTTCTCATAGCTACCCTAAATCTCCCTTTGAACTACTTTACAACAAAATACCAACATACTCTCATATGAGGAGTTTTGGATGCCTTTGTTACCCATCTATACCAAAAATACACAGAGACAAGTTTAAACCTAGAACATCTCCACACATATTCATTGGCTATCCCTATGGAGTCAAAGGGTACAAGGTCTTGAGTCTTGCCACTAAGAAGATATCTGTCTCTAGAGATGTTGTGTTCATTGAGAGTTTGTTTCCTTTCACTTTGTCCCCTGATAATTCTTCTTTCCCCTCTATCCTCACTACTGTTCCACCTACTAACATACTTCAGGAAGGTACAGACTTTACCTATGAAAGTGATACTGGTCCAAGTGTGAGACATGATCCATCTCTGCACCCTGAACCAAATCCATCTCAGCACCCTGAACCAAATAACACCTCTGACAGCCCATCATATCCTTTGTCACAGTCTGATACATCTCAATTCCCAGACCACATTTCATCACCACCAGTTCACCAGCCTACTAACACTCCTGCTATTCTAAGAAAATCACAAAGACCACATAAAACGCCTGCATATCTACAAGACTACCTACATTCACTCCCTGCACTGAAACCATCATCTTCTGTTGCCTACACTAGCTCTGCTGCACCCTTTTCCCTTAGTGCATCTTTTTCTAATTGCCACCATATCACCCATGATGCCCTGAATCTTGAAAGCCAAAGTCTTGTGAGAGACATCTGCAATGACAGTGAACCCTCATCTTATGAGGAGGCAGCTGTGAACCCTGATTGGCAAGCAGCCATGACCCAAGAGTTTGAGGCATTACATGCCAATCACACTTGGGACCTGGTTCCCTTACCTGATGGAAAGAAAGCCATAGGGTGTAAGTGGTTATACAAGATAAAACACAAGGCAGATGGCAGTGTGGATAGACTTAAAGCCAGGCTAGTTGTGAAAGGTTACACCCAACAAGCTGGAATTGACTATACAGAGACCTTCTCCCCTGTAGTTAAAATGACAACTGTGAGGTCATTAATAGCCATAGCTGTGAAGAAAGGGTGGTACATGTCACAATTAGATGTAAATAATGCATTCCTACATAGGGATCTGAATGAAGAAGTGTATATGGAGGTACCACAGGGTTTGGCAATTGATAACCCAGGCCTAGTTTGCAAACTCAACAAGTCTCTATATGGTCTTAAGCAGGCAAGCAGACAATGGTATGTTAAACTAACAGAAGCACTGTGCTCAAGGGGCTATGTACACTCTATGTATGACTATTCTCTGTTTTACAAGAAAACTGAAGAGTCCACTGTTTATATAGCAGTGTATGTTGATGACATAGTAGTTACAGGGACTGATATTGTGGAAATCACAGAATTGAAGACATTCTTGAACAATAGCTTCAGAATAAAAGATTTGGGCAGACTACATTATTTCTTTGGTTTGGAGATTCTCTACAAAGATGATGGTGTGATAGTTTCCCAGAGAAAATTCACTCTTGATCTGCTAAAAGAGTACCACTGTGTGGATTACAGTACCTTCAATTCTCCATTGGATCCTACTGTGAAACTTAAAGCCAAAGAAGGTGAAAGACTGACAGACCCCACCTATTACAGAAAGCTGATAGGAAAGTTCAACTTCCTCACCAATACAAGATTGGACATAGCTTACAGTGTGCAACACCTAAGTCAGTTCATGGATGATCCTAGAAAACCTCATTTGACTGCAGCTTTTCATTTGCTCAGATACTTGAAGAAGGACCCCACTTTAGGCATATTTCTGTCCAAAGATCAAGACTACACAATCAAGGCATATTGTGACTCAGACTGGGCTGCATGCCCAGATTCCAGAAAATCTATCAGTGGCTACCTTGTCTTGATGGGGAGCAGCCAAATCAGTTGGAAATCAAAGAAACAGGACACCATCTCCCTCTCTTCTGCAGAAGCAGAGTATAGAGCTTTAAGAAAAGTGGTAGGAGAATTGGTGTGGCTCAGTCGACTATTTGAAGAACTCACAGCACCATTTTCCAAGCCAATTCCTGTGTTTTGTGACAGCCAATCAGCCATGCACATAGCCAGGAACCCTGTATTTCATGAGAGAACCAAACATATAAAAGTTGATTGCCATTTTGTAAGAAGCAAACTGCGGGAGGGTCTGATCTCATTGCATCATGTGGGGACAACAAATCAACTGGCTGACATTCTGACAAAGGCCTTAACAGGAGTTAAGCATTCAGCAGCTCTACACAAGTTGGTAGTGTTTTCCACACCACCAACTTGAGGGGGGTATTGAGACTATTGAGGGGGGTATTGAGACTATTGGCTATTTATGTAAAGTGGCTAGTATTGTAAAGTGGCTATTCATTTCAGTTATAGTTGTTTAGTTAGGAGATGTATATATACTACATTTGCAAATGTAAATAACAGAGGTTCATTTTCCTAATTTCTATCTCCTTCTCTTCCTTTCAGAATTTTCTCTCTCTCGTAAGAACCTCCATAGTTATGAATATGATAGCTTGAATTACTTTCTATCTCAGTCAATTAACAATCCCTTAGTACACAGTAATATGTTCAATGCTATGTAATACAGATTTAGAATGAAGCATCTAAGGCGTTCACACCTAAGCTGATCGACAAATACAATTACCTTGAAATGTGAACCACAAAATATAAGCAAATCCAAGAAGAAAAGAGAAATTTGTGTCTCAAAATTAAAACAACACATTAATTAAAAAAAGAAAAGAAAAGGAAAAGACCAAAACTGTGGGGAAGATTCCCCAGCTTTTCTCCATATTTTTGGAATTTTGGTCATGTGGAAAAAGAAAAACTAATATGAAGCAAAATCTGAATTTGATGGTGGATATTTTTGGAATCTTACAAAAGAAATTCAAAAATATGTTTAATTAAAATTTTAAAACAGTTTTTGAAGTTTATTTCAACATAAGTATTCTTTTGATTTAGAGAGATAAAACTTTTTATTACAAAATTACTACTACTATTTTCACAAATTTTTCTTTCAAAAAATCGTCTCGAAAAGTTACACCAACTTTTTCTTGTCTTTTGGGGTAAAAACGCTTTTCTCCAGTGTGGACCAAGAAGACCAGAAGCATCTCCAGATATGCCACAAGCCAACCACGCGCCTCTGTCCGCGAATCAATCGTAGCCATCCAGTTGTCAACTCATCTAACGGTCCTCAGGGTCTCCTGCTCCACTCAGATTTTTGTATATCAATAGGACTCATTTCCCCTTCCTATCATTAGTCCTCACCACACACTGAATTTTCTCCTCTCTCATTTCCCCTGTGTGTTTTCTTCTTCTGCATACCCTAATTTTTAACCATGCTTCTCAAGGCGGCACCAGCTTTTGCTTTGTTGAACAGCCAAGGGGAAAATCTGAGCCCTTTGTTCTCGTCTTCGAAGAGCTTTTCCCCAAAAAGTGGAAATCGGTTCGTTGTTTCTGCTTCAAAGGCGACGAACCACAAGCCCTTGACCGGCGTTGTCTTTGAACCCTTTGAAGAGTTGAAGAAGGAGTTGATGCTTGTACCCGCTGTTCCTGATACCTCTCTTTGCCGCCAGATGTACTCAGATGATTGCGAAGCTGCTATTAATGAACAGATCAAGTGACTTCTTATATTCCTAACCTTTAATCTTTTTTTTCAAATAAAATTTTCAAGTCAATAGGTAAAGCAAGGGTTAAATCTGTGAATATGAGATTATTCATGAGTTATTCTGTGATTGCAGTGTGGAATACAATAATTCATATGTTTACCATGCGATGTTTGCCTATTTCGACCGAGACAACGTTGCTCTCAAGGGTCTCGCCAAGTAATTTTTCTGGAAAATCCTCTTCAAATTTTGATGTTCTTCCTAGATGTGTGTTTTTAAATTCTGAGTTATTGCTTTGTTTACTTTTAGGTTTTTCAAGGAATCTAGTCTAGAGGAAAGAGAGCACGCTGAGAAATTGATGGAATTCCAGGTGTTCTACGATTTGCTGCTATCATAATTCTCTTTCCAACTCATCTTTTTACCTCTTGCCTTGTTTTTATAGTAAATGACTTCTAAAATTTGTGTTCCTTGTTTCTAGAACAAGCGCGGTGGGAGGGTGAAGCTGCTATCTATCTGTGCGCCACCTACTGAGTTTGATCACTGTGAGAAGGGGGATGCATTGTATGGTAAGTGTTCCTCCATTTCTCCTAGCTGTAAATTCTAATTCCTGAGTTATTAGACGTATATCTACCATGTTGCTAAATATGAATGGTTGTCTCTGTCAATAGAACCGGGACGTGGATTACTTGTGGCAATGGCCCACATATCTTTTCTCTTTGTAAGCAGTAATGTGTTAGAAAAGTAAATGGAGTTAGCTTCATATTTATTTTGAGACTGTAGCTCTTTACTCCAGAGCCCTATTAAGTGTTAACTGCTACTGCCCTTCCTCGTGAATCTGAAACCTCTTAGATAGGAGTAATTCAATTGTCACATTTCCTAAAGGACATTGAATATCTACTTATTTGTTTAATTTGCTCTGTAGCAATGGAGCTCGCGCTTTGTCTGGAGAAGTTGACAAATCAAAGGCTTCTAAACTTGCATGCTGTGAGTTTCTTTCACATTCTTGTTCAGTTGTATTGACATACTTTTGGATCAATTTTGATGTAGGGATGATCACTCTGTTGGTTTTTGTGATGTAATATATATATATTACCATTTTTATGTTTTAATGGATGTACTTAAACTCTAAAAAACAGGTAGCCTCGCGAAGCAACGATGTGCATTTGGCTGATTTTCTTGAAAGCGAGTTCTTGGTTGAACAGGTGATGGTTTAACTACATTGTAGAAATACTACTACAATACACATTTAAAGATACTGAGGTTAAATCTTAAATCCATTTGTAGCTCATAAATTTTAAGACACTATTTTTCTAATTATAGGTGGACGCAATCAAGAAGATCTCAGAATATGTTGCTCAGCTGAGAAGAGTTGGCCAAGGACATGGTAAATTTGCACTCCTCTTAAAGATTATATTTCTTGTTCATTGTGAAACACCTTCATATCCTATTTATACAATGCTCTCCCCAATTGTTCTCTTAACATCTACCTCTTTGGTTGCGATTTAGGTGTCTGGCAGTTCGATCAGATGCTGCTGAATGAGGGAGCTGCTGCTTGAAGGAGAAGATAGAATTTCACTTTGCATTTGTATTTTGCCATTGTGGAGGATGTCTTTAGTATATTTTGATATTAGAAAAGGGCTCTGAGATTCTAGGCCTCTTAGTAGTAGAAAGTATGAGTGGTAAGAAAGTCCATATAAGACTGTCCTAATAGATCTAGCCAGCTGTGCTATAGTTTACTAGTTGTCAAGTACTTTTGGATTTTAATTAGTTCAATCTAGGGTATCATGCTTGCTCTTGTAGCTTGAACATGAAGTGCACCCAGAAAGCACTCTATCAAATTTAAGTGAGTTCAACTGATATGTTGGTATTTCTGCAATTTATTGCTTCAAATTAATTTGGACCTGCTGTTGAGGTTGACATTGCAAGTGAGTATCTTGTTTCTGAATTTCTTGTGATAATGTTTCCTCTATATAGGGGATTTGTCTTGCTATTTGATCACAAGATTTTCTCTCCTTTTCCTCTTCTCTGGTTAAAGGAAAAAAGCAAATGAGAACGCAATTCAAATGTCAATTTAAAAGATGTGGATTAACTAGGCAATCGATCTTAATCCAAGGAGGGGTTAAAAAATGGAAGGAGGACATTGGCAAGTGTAAATTCAAGATATGTCTTCTTAAACCAAAATTACTGGTGGCTTGCCTGTATAGTGATAGTTCTCTTTAATTTTTCTTCAATTTTCTAGTACAAAAATCTAATAGGCACCAATTTTGCTGTGAACCGAACTGTTTTCTTCTTGTTCTGCCCAATCTCTTATAATTATCAGAAGTTCAGAACTAAACTTCTGTTTTCCACTAATCTAAAGGATTTTGGGTACGTTTGACATACAAATGTACGCGGGATCGTCAAGTAAAAAGAAATGGTAATAGAGCATGGACAGAGGTAGGGGTGTACAAATGAAACCGACAAATCGCACCAATCCGCTAATCCGAATCAAACCGAGAAAAAACCCGACTATGGTTTGTTTAATTTGATTTGGTGTTGGAAGAAAAAACCCGACCATAATTTGTTTGGTTGGTTTTAACTAAAAAAAGTCAAACCGAAACCAAACCAACCCAACATTATATGTATAGAAATTTTAAATATGTTTAATACATAAAAATATTTATTGTAGTGTAGTTTACAAATATTTAACGTATTATTTCAAGTTTTGACTTATAATTTATGGATGCTCCAATAAGTTTTGTAGTCCATAAATGGTAGTAACTCAAACAAATCCTAAACCAAAATCAAATCAATACTAATGCTAATAAAAGACATTCAATTCAATAGTACTATGAATGAAAATAGTGTTGGATATCTATTTTTTAGTTTTCACATGGTTTAGATAAAATGCATAACTTATTTTTCTTTTAGTATTTAGTCATTTAAATAATAGTACTTATTAGTCGTACTTATTTTAGCAACTTAGTAATTTTAAATTATGTTTGTTTTCATTATGGCTTATTAATAATATTTATTTTATGCGATTTTATTATTTCTTGTTGAATATTTTAGTACAATGTCATGACTCATCTCATATTTATATTATTTTATTGAAAAACACCTTATATAGTTCTGTCTTACTAGGATTAAAGAAATATTTGGAGCACAAATTCTATGTTTTGTGCTATGAAGACTTTAAGAAGGAAAAAACCCGAAAACCGAAAAACCGAGAAAAATCGAATTAAAAAAATCCGACTTTTATTGGTTTGGTTTGGTCTTTAGATTTAATAACCCGACACAATTGGTTTGATTTGGTAATTGAAAACTTCGAACCAACTCGGCCTATGTACACCCTAGACATATGTGCATTTCTTCCAAATTTAAACACCAAGGATTACATTTTCTTTTTTAATTAAGGGTGTATTTGGTATGACGGAAAACATTTCCAAAAAATGTTCTTCCATTTTCCACTATTTGGTTGCACAAAATAGTTTGGAAAATATTTTCCTAGATATCACATTTTCCTAAATTGGAGGAAAATGACTTTCCTAGAAAAAGTTAGGAAAACATTTTCCAAAGACTCCACCTACCCTCATATCTATCCCCAACCCCCTCCAACTTCAATTTTTTGTTTTTTTTTTTCGTTTTTCTGCACCATCCACCCCCCACCCCCCGCGATAAATTACTTTTTTTTTGTATTTTCAATTTTCTATTTTGTCTGTTTTTCTGAACCACCCAAGCCCCTCACCCCCTC